TGCGGAAAAGTTAACATGAATCACATTTTCCTAATCGAATTGCATTTTCCAATGGAGCAGCAGAGCATGCTGCCCAAGGACCTTCAGAGGGCTTTGAAGCCAAGCATATCGAAGCGTTTGGCAAGGAAAGTTCAAATTTTTACAAACCAACTCTTTTGTAAGGGGTTCTTTTTGGCAAATACATTAATTTGCTAATTATTGAAATGATTCTAGCATTTTAAATTGTATTATTAAGTAAAAAAAAATGGTGGCTGGGCACATTGGCTGACACCTGTCATCCCAGTACTTTGGGAGGCAGAGGTGGGAGGATCACAGAAACCACGTCTGTACTAAAAATACAAAAATTAGCTAGGCGGGTGGTGAGCACCTGCAGTCCCAGCTACTCGGGAGGCTGAGGCAGGAGACTCGCTTGAACTGGGAGGTGGATGTTGCGGTGAGCCGAGATGGAGCCACTGCACTCCAGCCTGGGCAATAGAGAGAGACTCCGTCTCAAAAAAAAAAAAAAAAAAACAACGTATACAACAATTGACTAGTTACATATCTTTTGTGTAAAAAGTTGAAAAAATTAAAATAGTATAATATGATACGATAGAATATATAAAGTGCGTGTATCTCCTTTCTTTGGAAATGTCTGCATGAAACCAGTAATATTTTCTCGTGGGAGAAAAACATGGATGTCTCAGGCTGGGTCCAGTAGCTCGTGCCTATAATCCTGGCACTTTGGGAGGCTGAGTTGGGCAGTTTGGTTGAGCCCAGGAGTTCAACTCTAGCCTGGGCAACATGGTAAGATCCTGTAGCTACAAAAAAAATCCAAACAATCAGCCAGATATGGCAGAGTGCGGCTGTAGTCCTGGCTACTCAGGAGGTTGAGGAGGGAGGATCACCTGAACCTGGGGGGTTAAGGTTTAAGGCTGCAATGAGCCGTGACTGTGCCACTGCGCTCCAGCTTGGGCGACAGAGCAAGACCCTGTCTCTCCCTAACCCCTCCAAAAAACGGTGTCTGACAGCAGGATGGGAGGGAGATTTTCCAGTTTACCTTTTGAATTGTACCATATGAATGTATTGCCTATTCAAAATTAAATCACTACTGCAGGGGTGGGTACTGACTGGGAAGGGGCACGAGGGAGCCCTCCGGGGCCCTGGACATCTTCTGAGCCTTTTTTCTGGATCTTGATGAACATACATGTAAAGTCATCAATCCATACACTTAAGTTCTGTGCACTTTAAGTTATGCTTCAAAAAAAGTGGTGTCTTTTAAAAAATGGTAAAGTGCAGTCAGCCCTCCCTATCTGTGGGTTCCATATCCACGGATTTAACCAACCATGAATCAAAAATATTTTTTAAATGGATGTTTGCATCCGTACTGAATACATATAGACTTTTAAAAAATCATTATTTTCCCAGCCTGTGCAACATGGTGAAACCCCATCTCCACCAAAAATACAAATAATTAGCTCAGTGGTGGAATGTGCCTGTAGTCCCAGCTACTCAAGAGGCTGAGACGGGAGGACTGCTTGAGTCTGGGAGATGGAGGTTGCAGTGAACCAAAATCATGCCCCTGTACTCAAACCTGGGTGATGGTGTGAAACCCTATCTCAAAAAAATAAAAATAAAAATCACTATTCTCTAAACAACATAGTCTAACAACAATTTACATATATACACATTTTTTTCTTTGAGACACAATCTTGCTTTGTAGCCCAGGCTGGAGTGCAGTGTCCTGATCTTGGCTCACCGCAACCTCCGCTTCCCAGGTTCAAGTGATTCTCTTACCTCAGCCTCCTGAGTAGCTGGGATTACAGGCACACGCCACCACGCCTAGCTAATTTTTGTATTTTTAGTAGAAACGGGGTTTCACTGTGTTGGTCAGGCTGGTCTTGAACTCCTGACCTCATGATCCACCCGCCTTGGCCTCCCAAAGTACTGGAATTATAGGCATGAGCCACCGTGCCTGGCCATTTTTTTTTTTTTTTTTGGGATGGAGTCTTACTCTTGTCACCCAGGCGGCTGGAGTGTAATGGCTGGATCTTGGCTCCCTGCAACCTCCACCTCCCAGATTCGAGCTAATCTCCTGCCTCAGCCTCCCAAGTAGGCAGACAAAGAATTCTTCTGAGAGGCAAGAGAGGAAACCAAACTTGGAAAACAGAACCATATATTAATAATTCATTTACTCATTTGCTAAGTACTTTACCATTTTCTTTTACTTTTCTTTTTTAAAAAAATTTATTTCTTTTTATTTTTGTGACAGAGTCTTGCTCTGTCACCCAGGCTGGAGTGCAGTGGCATGAGCTTGGCTCACTCCAATCTGCCTCCTGGGTTCAAGTGATTCTCCTGCCTCAGCCTCCCAAGTAGGTGGGATTATGGGCATGCACCACCATGCCTGGCTAATTTTTATATTTTTAGTAGAGATGGAGTTGCTCCATGTTGGCCAGGCTGGTCTCAAATTCCTGGCCTCAAGTGATTTGCCCACCTCGGCCTCCCAAAGTGCTGGGATTACAGGTGTGAGCCACCATACTCAGTCCACTTTACCATTTTCAATATCCTTTTAGTCCTGTTACATAATTTGACCTTGAAATCACCCTATAAATGGATGGGGTACATGTTCATTATCCCACCTTGTGAATGAGGAAGGAAGCTGAGACCTAGAGAGCAAAGTCACAGGAGATGACAGAGCCTGTGCTCAAACCCATGTTTTACAATTCTAAGTCTGATGTGCTCATTGCTGCTTTCCGGAGAGGTCTCAGATCATCTAGAGTGAGCTCTGGCTTCCCTATTTACCAGCTGTGTGATTTTGAGCAAGTTGCTGAACCTCTCTGCACCTCCCTGTTCTCATTCTGTGCAATGGAGCTGGCATAAGGATTAAATGAGCCAATACAAAGAAAGCACATGGTAAGTTCTCATTAAAAATTAGCTTTTGTTGGCCAGGTATGGTGGCTCACGCCTGTAATCCCAGCACTTTGGGAGGCTGAGGTGGGCAGATCATGAGGCCAGGAGTTCCAAACCAGCCTGGCCAATATGGTGAGACCCCATCTCTACTAAAAAAAAAAATTAGCCGGGCGTGGGGGCACGCGCCTGTAGTGCCAGCTATTTGGGAGGCTGAGGCAGAAGAATCACTTGAACCCAGGAGGTGAAGGTTGCAAGGTTGTGCCACTGCACTGCAGCCTGGGTGACAGAGTGAAATTCCATCTCAAAAAAATAAAATGAGCTTTTCTTTTTCTTCCTAGAGAAAAAGGGTGAGAAGAGGGTGAGATGGAAAGTTCAGAGGCAGAAGTGGCCCCAGCATGTCAGTGTGCAGCTCCCCCAGGCAGTAAGAACAGGAATAGGGTGACCAGGCAGAGGCCAGGACAGGCCAGCAGCGCCAGTAGGAAGATGCCCTCACCCCCACCTTGGCCTTCAACCTGCAGAAGCTCAGTGTTTCCTGAGGCCCAAATCCAGCTGGCAACCAGCCCAGGAGAGCGTGAGGACAGGGGAAAAGAGGTGGATAAGGCATCTCGGCCACCTGTGAGGGGCTCGTGGTCTGGTTGTAAGATTGAGACAGGGCTATGTGAGCTAAGATGGCTTCCCTCAGTTTCCCTAGAATATGAGGCTCCCTGTCCAGTGAGGTGCTGGTAAAAATGGAACAAGTAGCTCTTTGTTGGGGGATGACAGGTCAGAGGGGCTGTTATGCCAATTGTCATGTTTGCCAATTTCCAGGGGATAAATACTCTCATTGTGGCCATCTTCAAAAAGAAGCAGGTCCTTGTGTCAAACCATGAGGGCGGGACAGGCAGTAAGGTGAGGACAAAGGTGAGGCATCATCGTCCGAGGCTGGAGACTTGCGTCCTGGTCCCTGAGAGAGTATGCAGAGATGTTTCATGCCTTGGACACATCATTTTACCTCTTTGATTTCCAGTCACCTCAACGAAGAAAATGGATGTGTTGGTGGACAGAGCTGGTGTGAATCCAGGACAGATGGTATTTTTCAAGCGCTTGCTCTGTGCTAGGGTCTGGGATACACAGATGAATAACAGAGCATCTTGCTGGGGAAGTGGGTGGATGTGAAAGTCCCGTGACCTCATCGACACAGTGGTGACAATGATTAGTAAGTACAAGGTGATGGCCCTGCATGTCTGAGTCACACAATTCATTCCGTCAATCCCAAGATCTTTTGTTTTGTTTGAGACAGTCTTGCTCTGTCATCCAGGCTGGAGGTTGCAGTGAGCCCACCTTGGCCTCCCAAAGTGCTGGGATTACAGGTGTGAGCCACCGCGCCTGGCCTTTTGCCTGTATGTATTTCTTTATCTCACAAACTTTTTTTTTTTTTTTTTTTGAGATGGAGTTTTGCTCTTGTTGCCCAGGCTGGAGTGCAATGGCTCGAAATCTTGGTTCACCACAACCTCCACCTCCTGGGTTCAAGCGATTCTCCTGCCTCAGCCTCCCGCTTACAGGCATGCGCCATCATGACTGGCTAATTTTGTATTTTTTTAGTAGAGACAGGGTCTCCCCATGTTGGTCAGGCTGGTCTTAAACTCCTGACCTCAGGTGATCTGCCTGCCTCAGCCTCCCAAAGTGCTGAGATTTCAGGCGTGAACCACTGTGATCGGCCATCATAAACTTTTAAAAGCCCTATACATACTCTCCAGAATGTCTAAAATTATTAATTTAAAAAAATCAAACTTCAAACCGGACTATACCAAATGCATAAGCAGTGGGAACCGTCATACATTGCCGGTAGGAATGCAAAATGGCACAATCAGTATAGAGAACAGCTTGGTAGAGTCTGATAAAGTTAACTAGACACTTACTCAGTCACCCAATTTTAGGTATTTACCTAAGACAAAAGAAAATGTGTGCTTACACAAACACTGAACCTGAGTGTTTATAGCTCACAGAAGTGTTATTCATAACTGCCCCAAACTGGAAATAACCCAAATGTACTTCACCTGGTAAACAGAGGAACAACCGTGGTATAACCACACAATGAAAAAGGAACGCACTACTGACACGGGGAACAAAATGGGTGAATCTCAAATATGTAATGCTGAGTAAAGGAAGCCAGGCTGGAAAAGCTGTGGTTCCATTTAAATGACATCTGGGAAAGGCAAAATATCAGTCAGAAACAGATCAAGGTTACCAGAGGCAAGGGGTAGAGGTGTGGGTTGACTACAAAAGACAGCATGAGGACACTTATGGGGGGATTGTGGTGGTGGCCGTGTGACTGTACTCTCCTGCCAAAACTTATAGAATAAACCAACAAGGGTGGATTTTACGATCTGTAAATTACAGCTCAGTAAATCTAACAATGGCAATACAAAGGTTGTGTGCCCCCCTTCCCTCTCCTGACTGCTACCTCAGTTTGCTCCACAGTGAAGCCACTCCCCATACTCCCACTCAGACTACTCCCTGGACAAGCTTAGGTACCAGTGCTGCAGAATTGACTCTGCTCTTACCGAGCCAGCTGCCTTCAGCATCATCAGTGAGTTTTAAAATGCTGACGCAGGTTGGGCGCAGTGGCTCATGCCTGTAATCTCAGCACTTTGGGAGGCCGAGGCAGGTGGATCACCTGAGGTCAGGAGTTGAGATCAGCCTGGCCAACATGGTGAAACTCCATCTCTACTAAAGATACAAAAATTACCTGGGCGTGGTTGGCGTGCCACTGTAACCCCAGCTACTCGGGAGGCTGAGGTAGGAGAATCACTTGAACCTGGGAGGCAGAGGTTGCAGTGAGCCGAGATGGCGCCTCTGCACTCCAACCTGGACAACAGAGAGAGACTCCACCTCAAAAATAAAAATAAATAAAATGCTGACGCTGTCCAGGCATGGTGGCTCAGCCTATAATCCCAACACTTTGGGAGGCTGAGACAGGAGGATCGCTTAAGCCCAGGAGTTTAGGGTCGTCTGGGCAACATAGTGAGACCCTATCTCTACAAAAATTTTAAAATTAGCTGGGATGGTGACATGTGCCTGTGGTTCCAGATACTCAGGAGGCTGAGGAAGGAGGCTGGCTTGAGTCCAGGAGGTCAAGGTTCCAGTGAGCTCTGATCACACCACTGTACTGCAGCCTGAGTGACAGAGCAAAGCTGTCTCAAATAAACAAACACCCTACAGGAGGGAAGTAGCCTCAGGTTGGAGACAGGCAGGCTGCTGGGCCTGTGATGGGACCAAAACCTATGACTCATCCATGCTTCCTCCTTCCAGAGCAGAGTTCAGCAATGGCTGGACCTGCTGAGAGCCCCTGAGGGTGTTCCCGCCACTGCTGGGGCCACTCCACCTGGCTTGCTGAACACTGCCTCCCCCTGGTGGTCGCTTATGAAAAAGCATCCTCACCCACCAGCCGGGTGGGGATGAGGGGACAGGGACACTCCTCCCGTCCCCCTTCCTCCCACCATTCACTTTTTCCTCTTGTCTTCCCAGCTTTCTTCACTCTCTTTCCCTCTCCTTGCCTTCTCCTCACTCTCCTCCCCTCTCTGCTTGCTTCATTGTTCTGCTACATGCTGGGAAGAGCTTTGACCTTGGTTCCATGGGTTAAAACCAGGCTCTGGCATCTATGAGCTACATGACCTTGAGCCAATTACTAACCCTCTCTGAGTCAGTGTCCTCACCTGGAAATAAGGATAACTCTGGATGGCAAAGTGACATAATCCACATAAAACACTTTGCACAGAGTCTGGCCCAATAGATGTTTATTATTTTTATAACTACGATCATGCCTGGCACTTGCTAGGGGACCAACCGTCGGTCGTGGTAGTTTGCATAACCCACGCTATGTATTAGACTCCTGTGGGCATTCTCAAAAAATATGCATGTACCAGGTGTGGTGGCTCCTGTATTGCCAGCACTTTGGGAGGTGGAGATGGAGGTAGGAGCATCGCTTGAGGCCAGAAGTTTTAGGCCAGCCGGGGTAACATGGTGAAATCCCATCTCTACAAAAAAAAAAAAAAAATTAGCCAGGCACAGTGGCACACAAATGTAGTCCCAGCTACTTGGGGAGCTGAGGTGGGAGGATCCCCTGAGCCCAGGAGATCAAAGCTGTAGTGAGCCATGTTTGTGCCACTGCACTCCAGCCTGGGCAACAGAGTGAGATTTTGCCTCAAAAAAAAAAAAAAAAAAAAAAAAAAAGAACCTGGTCTCCCTCGTCTCAGACCAATCAATTTACTATGTGTTTTTCATCAGTACTCTTGAAAAGCTCCCTGGGAGACACAATGAGCAGCCCTGGCTGGGAACCACACTAGGGTGACCAGCAGTCCGGGGTCACCTGGGGCTTTCCTGGTTTGAGCACTGGAAGTCCCATGACCCAGGAGCCCCCTCCCTGCAAGACAAACTGAGACACTTGTTTGTCCCCTTCGTAGAAAGGAATGGACCCGTATTTCCTGAATCGCAGATCGGGACACATGGCCTAAGTGCAGATGGCTGAATCAATTCTGTGAAAGCACCGCTTGGGGCGGTGGGTCACTGAGGCCACAGGGTCAGTCTGTGGCAGGAGTTGGGTGCAGGGTGGGGAGAGGTGGGCAGAAGAGCGGCTGGCAGTGGCTCAGTCAGACAGGTCCGTGTCATTGGGCCAGCTGGGGCTCCAGCCGCTGGCCGCCCGCTCCATGGCCTTCACCCAGCGGCCCTTCAGCTCCTCCGTCTCGGCCTTGAAGGTGTAAAGCTGGCCTGACTGCTGTAGCTGGAAGACCCGAGGGTCCCCCTGGGGCCCAGCGGTCACCTGGTAGCCCAATAGGGGGATGGAGGTGTGAGCCCGAATGTCCTGCGGGGGAGGAGAGAGCAGTGGGCCACTGTCCCCATCAGTCCTACTGCCCTAGATAGCCTTCCTGAAGGCAACAGCCACGCATGCATGGCTCACACCCCAAACCCCAATGCAGGGGGAAGGAAGAGAGAGAACTGGATGCCCCTGAGGGCAAAGCAGTGGTGACTTAGAATCAGGGCCCAGTTCTGAAACCTACTAACCCTGAGCCTCCAGGATACCACATCTTCACTGAGCCTCAGTTTCCCTATCTGACATAAGGAGCTAGCAATACTCTCCCCAACCCCCTTCACGCACACACTGTGAGAAGGCTAGGGCCTGGGGGGCAGGTGGTGGCCTTACCTGGGGGGCAGCATAGACATAGAGTACCAGGGGGTCATCCCGGGGGATCACACACCAGCCCCGGGGGCCGCTCTTGCCCCACTTGTCCCCAATGAGCTGCAGGAAGCTGCACATCAGGCTCTGGTCGGGTGCGGCTGAGGACTCTTTCTAAAACCAGAAGGAGGGACTGTCAGGGAGCAGAGCAGCCGCAAGTGTCAGAACTTGGTCTAGGGGCTTGGCAATTATTATCTCAAATCCTTACAGCAGTACCGTATGGAGGGGTTCTTTGTCCCTGAGGCTGAGGCTCAGAGAGGTCCCATCAAGTGCCTGTGGTCACACAGCTAGCTGGCCAGTGGCAGAGCTGCAGCCAAACCCCAGACTGCCTGAACCTGTCTCCTGTGTGCCCACGGCGGACAGGTGCCGGGAGGGTGCCCAGAGCTGCTCCAGGGAACAGAATCGGGCCCTGAGAAGGGGCTGAGCATCTCTAGGGGCAGGCCGTGTCACCTAGTGGTCAGGGAGGTCATGGGCAGTGACTGGGCCTGGGAGGGTGGGGAGGATTGGAAAGCAGGTAGACGTCCATGAAAAGAGGCCAACTTTTTTTTTTTTAAAGACAGAGTCTCACTCTAGTTGCCCAGGCTGGAGTGCAATGGTGGGATCTTGGCTCACTGCAACCTCCACTTCCTGGGTTCAAGTGATTCTCCTGCCTCAGCCTCCCGAGTACCTGGGATTACAGGCATGTACCACCATGCTCGGCTGAGTGGGTTTTTTTTGTATTTTTAATAGAGACGGGGTTTCGCCATGTTGGCCAGGCTGGTCTCCAACTTCTGACCAGAGATGATCTATCCACCTTGGCCTCCCAAAGTGCTGGAATTCCAGGTATGAGCCACTCTGCCTGGCCAAAAGAGGCCAACTTGAACTTGGAAGTGAATTTCAGCTGGCATAAGCTAGGACCCTCTCCTGCCTCCCAGGGACAGTGGGATGTCAACCTGGCCTTCATGAGGGAGGGGCAGTGGACGGTGGTAACTGATACTGGGCTGGTTGGCATTGCATTTGTGGTGCTTAGCTGAGCACAGTTGTACCCCCATAGGGAGCGCCTGTTGGGGGCAAGTGTGGCTCAGTGAGGCCCCCAGGGCAGCAGAAAGAACACCTGTGGCTGAGGTTGGAGGGCTGGCTCCTAACTTGCTTGTGACCTTGGGCAAGTCACTTCTCCAGCCCTAGGCCTCCAGGAGATAAGACTGAGTGGCCCCTGGAGTCCCTTCCAGTTAGAGTGGAGTCTCTCCAATCTGTCTGACCTGGAGCCTCAGTGTTCCCATCTGTAAAATGGAATCTGTGACACCAGCTCTCATCACCCTGGGACTGTTGGGGCAGGGCACGGTGACATGAACAGGAGCTGTCCAGAGGGGCCATGCTATTGGATGGGGACAGACATAGAGGAAGGGCAGAAGAGTGTAGACAGCCTGCGGCCAAAGGGTGCCTCCATCTGATGACAGGCTCCTGGGCTGTGGGGAGGAGCCTGGGGTCTGTGGGCAGAGAGAGGAGAAGGGAGAGGAGGGAGGGTGTGACCACAGCTGGCTTGCTCCTCGGCATTGGACAGTGTCAGCCCAGGGCAGTTGCCAGGCACACATTCCCTAAACAGAGGGGAGGACGGTTGGTGAGCATGGGGACAGTGGCCCTCACCTCCAGGATGCCCCGCCTCTTGTCCTCCCTGGCTTCTGGGAGCACGTTTCCGGTGAGGAAGGTGTAGCAGTGGAAGCATACCCGGCTGGGCCTGTTGTTGTATTTCAGCTCAGCACGGTAGTCAGAGCACCTGGCACACACTACCTGAGGAGGACACGTGGGGGGTGTGGCTGAGACCAGGCCCTGGAGGGCCGGGCTCCTGCCTTGGCGGGGAGGTGGGGCGTGAGAGCAACCAGCGGCAGGGGGAGGAAAAGAAAGTTTCAAGAGAGGAATGGAGGCAGAGCAGGGACACTCCCCAACGCTGGTGAAGCCCACTGCCTGGAGGCTGCAGTGTGTGGGGGACCTTGGGCTCGGGGCTATTAAGCTGGGGGGTTTAGGAGCCCACCCCCACCTCAGGGGCGTAACTTCTCTCCCCTCCAGGTTCCCTCCATGTGAGGGCCGCTGTAAACCCAAGGAGCTTGCTCCAGACAGGCCACTGGCATCTGATTCACTTTTCCAAGTCCTGCCCTCTGCCATCTCACCTGACTTTCCCAAAGACCCCACCAGGCAGGCAGCGCCCAGCTTTTGTCCTCTCCTGATCCCCAGAGCCATAGTATGAACTGGCAGGCAGGCCCTCCACAAACAGGGTGTGTCTTTCAAGTGCCACAGCTTAGCTTTAAGATTTCATGCAAACTGCTGGACACAGTGGCCCACGCCTTAATCCCAGCACTTTGGGAGGTCAAGGCAGGTGAATCACAAGGTCAGGAGTTCGAGACCAGCCTGACCAACATGGTGAAACCCCGTCACTATTAAAAATACAAAATTTAGTGGGCGTGGTGGCGCGCTCCTGTAATCCCAGCTACTCAGGAGGCTGAGGCAGGAGAATTGCTGGAATCCTGGAAATGAAGGCTGCAGTGAGCCGAGATCGTGCCACTGCCCTTCAGCTGGGGAGACAGAGAAAGACTGTCTCAAAAAAAAAAAAAAAAAGATTTATGCAAACTTTGTATTCTGCCCCATCATGAAGTCAAGTGTGTTTTCATCTAAAAATGGTGGGCTGATCGTTTTTCATGGGTGCTCTGTGGAGCGGGGCCCAGTCTCAACCCACCACGAAGACATCCCCCAAAGGCCAACGTGGATCATGCTGGAAGACTGGGTCAAAGGGGCCTGGGAAGACTCAGAGAGGAACAGTGGGTGCTACAAGGCATGACTGCAAGGAAGGCTTGGCATTAGTGGGAGCCCAGATGTGGGCTTGGAGATGGAGGGCAGGAAAAAGGGGCAGAGGGAGGAGTGTTGTTCATCAGGCTGCACCAGCCCTCAGGAAGCTCCTCTCTGTGCCCAGCACAGAGCATGGCCTGGCAGGGACCTGGAGAAGAAGGCCTGGCCCTGCCCCACCCTCACAAGGATTCCCGTCTGGCAGGCAGGGGAGACAGAAACTGGCACCTGAACCACCGAAAGGATGACTCACTGGCTCACTGGCTCAGCAGGCACGAAGGTCTGCACGGGCATGAGAACCCACAGTCAGGGCACAGCCCCACACGGGGCTTCCGCTACCTTAGGGGCATTTAATTTTCTTATTGAGAGAGTTCCATGTTTAAATATAATTGGTAAATATTTTTTCCTCCACCAACTTCTAATTTTGAAAAATTTCAAACCTACAGACAAGTTAACGAATAATACAATGATAAATTCACCCATTATTAACATTTGTGCCACATTTGCTCTCTCTCTCTCTCTATGTATTTTATTTGTTCTGAAACATTTGAGAATAAATTACAGTCATCTTGACACTTTAAATATGTAGCTAGCATCTCCTAAGAACAAGGGCATTCTACCACACTCAGGAAATTTCACATTGATACAATATTATTATTATTATTATTTTAGTTTTTCGAGACAGAGTCTTGCTCTGTCTCCCAGGCTGGATTGCACTGGTGCCATCTCAGCTCACTGCAACCTCCACCTCCTGAGTTCAAGTGATTCTCCTGCCTCAGCCTCCGAAGTAGCTGGGATTACAGGTGTGCACCATCATGCCCGGCTAATTTTTGTATTTTTAGTAGAGATGCGGTTTCGCCATTTTGGGCAGGCTGTTCTTGAACTCCTAACCTGAGGTGATCCACCCACCTCAGCCTCCCAAAGTGCTGGGATTACAGGCGTGAGCCACCGCGCCCAGCCGATACAATATTATTATCTAGATATGTGGCATAATCACATTTCTCCCAGTGGTCCCAAGAACAAACTTGGTAGCTTTATTTTCCCCCAGCCAAAATCCAAGCAAGGACCATACATTTAATTTAGTTGTCAGAATATTTTCTGTCTGAAGCTGGAAGGCAGCTACCTGGGCATTGTTATTCTTTGTGCCTCTTTCTATTGCACTATTTTAAAGTAATTTTTAAGGATTACTTGCAGTCACACATGTGAATCGATTCAACTCTTATTTGAAGATGTGAATCACCAGAAGCAGCAGCCAATCCCCACATCGCTTCTATTTGGCTTAGGGACGTAACTCATCACTGACATCTGAACGCAGGTGTGTCCTCAGTCCTAGAAACTGACTGCATCCTGACTGCAGTTTCACACATTTTGGGGACACCTCCCTGACTAGCCCCACCCTGTCCAGCTAGACTTCTCCCATCCTCTGGAGGTCATCAGAGACTGAGGTTGTAAAGGGCTTCTCTGCAGAGTAAACAGAGGGGGTTGTGATGTCAACAGAACAGCTAAGTACAGCAGATACTTAAAAAGCAAAGCAAGGTCTGCCTCTGATAACTGGGACTGGCTTGATAAGGGGAAGAACACACCTCCTTCCTCACCCGCACAGGATGCCCTGCCTGAGCTGTTGAGGAGGGGGAAAGAGAAAGAGAATGAGAGGGAAGGGAGAGAATATTTTTTGGTCAAATCCTCATGGACACCCTGGAGGTAGGGTTCATGATCCCCAAGGTGGAGATAAGGAAACAGGCCTGAAGCAGTGGGCACAGTTAGCAACAGAACCCATCAGGTGCCAGGGCGCTCAGGACTTGCTGAGAAGAGAGGACCGCTAGCGGAGGCGGGTAGAGAAGAGGATGACAGGTGGATCACCTCAGGTTAGGAGTTCAAGAAGAGGAGTGGGTGGGTGCACAAAGGGCATGGGTCTGGTGAGGTGGTGGGGTAAGGCCTGAGGGGGTGAGGGGCTGGATGCCCCCCACCCTCCCACTAGAGTTGGAGACCATTTCGTAGCTCTAGGTCTCAGGGTCGTGGAAAATGATGGTAAGAAAGCAGGTAAATTAATAGGATCAGCTTCCGGGTGCCTTGAGCGGTAATTGAATCTCATTTATAGATGGGCCTCATTTTCCCATCTATAAAATGGGAGAATAGCAGCCCCCTGAAGTATGCTGTGAGGGCCAGATGAGGTAATAACACATGTGCCAGGCTCAGAGCTAATGCCTAATGCCACTGGGCTGCACTGGTAGAAGCCAGCAGATTTGGCCAGGATGGGGAAAAGCAGGGCCTGAGCTGGAAGAATGGAGGCCTGGGTGACACAGGTGGAGGCCTAGGTGACACAGGTGGAGGCCTAGGTGACACAGGTGGAGGCCTGGGTGGGGCAGGTGGAGGCCTGGGTGGGGCAGGTGGAGGCGGGAGTGCTCTCAGAAGTACTCACGTAGCCGCAGGCCCGGCAGTGGTGGCGGCGGCGCGTCAGGGCGTTGAAGGGCTCCTGGCAGCGCATGCACATGGTCACCATCTTGTCCCGGACCCATTGCGGTGCCCGGAGGCCCAGCTCCTCAGACTGCAGCTGTGGGTTAAGGCCCCTGGTGACCCTCTTTGCCCATCCTCCAAGGACCTGGGGCCCTGTGCCCACCTGCTGTGGCAGGGATTCTGTGTGTTGGGCTTCCCTGGGGCTTCCGCAGGAAGGTGACTGACCTGATAGGATAGTTACTATTATTCCTAATGTATGGGCGAGGAAACAGGCCCCGAGAGGTCAAGTGCCTCAGCAGGCTAGAGATGAGCTCGAATCTGAACTCACACTACAGACATCCTCCCCAGCCCCTACCGCACTCTCCTTCCATCTTCCCCAAGACATTACATTTCTCAGATGCTTTCAAACCCAAAACCCTGCTGCCCACTGCAGCTGGGACTGCAGAGAGGTGAAGCTCTTCCCCATGACAGCTGTGCTAATGGGAATGCTCAGGCACTGAGTATGCACTGAGAGGGCTTCCCCGGGTCCCTTCAGTCTCTCCTGGCAGGTGACCCTCCCTGTCCCTCCCAGCTGGTACAGGTAAAACAGAGGGGACAAACTCTGTTTGGGCTGGTGGCTCCAGCAAGGGATGAAGACGGCTTCATTTACCTCCTCTTCCTGTGTGTCTCCCTCAGGCCCCTGGGCAGCAACCTTGAAGGTTTCATTCCGCTTCTCGATTTGGTCAATGGCTGCTTGGAAGGCCTGGGGTGCAGGGAGGACAAGGGGGCTTGAGGAGTGGGAGGGAGGGGTTGCTCCTCTGTCCATCCATCCACACATGCAACAGACAGGGCTGAAAGCCCACTGAGTGCCAGGCACCGGATTCTTCACACACATGGGCTGCCTTAGGGGAGGAGAAACTACCAGCCCCAGATTACAGGTGTAAAAACTGAGGCTCAGAGAGGGTAAGTGACTGGCCCTGGACTGCCCAGCTAGGCAGTGAGAAGCAGCAGGATAGGAACCCAGATCCATCTCCAAACTGCCACAGACCAGCTCCTTAGGAAGAGCAGGAAGCCGCTGGGCACATGCAGGTATAGGAGTGTGCACACAAACACACACACAAAGACACATACATACATGCATGCACATACATGAATACACACAAGCACAGACACGCACACACAAACATGTACACACATGCATGCACACACACACAGACACAAACACACAGACATGCACACACAGATGCACGCACATGCATACACACATGAACACACACACACGCACATACACGAGCATTCCTCCCTCCCCTGCACACACACAGCACTCCCTCCCCTTCAGCCCAAATAGGCTAGGGTCAGAATCCCAGGAGCTTCAGCATGATAGCCCATTAATGCGACAGAAAAAAACAAGAAAGAAAAAAGACTCCCGGAAGCGTGGAGCGTTCCAATACCTGCATCCAGGAAATCATTTCCTCCTGGGACCTGCTCGGAAAATGAACACAGGTGTTGAGGAAAGCAGCCCCTCCCAGTTTTCCCGCCTGGCCCGGCCGCCGCCCCAGCTCCTTTACCGGGCTTGCAGCTCCAGGGTGCGCTGCTTCCCGGACACCAGGAAGGAGTAGGGGAACTCAGCATCCATCAGCTCCCGCACCTGTAACAGAAGGGAGGCAACCAGTTCAGACTTGTCATAACCCAGGTCCCAGGCATAGCACCGAGGGATGGAGGGAGGTGGATTGTGCCCAAAGGTGAATTCAGATTTGACGGACAGGAACGCAGAGCTTGTTTGCTACCTCCTTAAGCCTGTTGAGCCAAGCAAATGCTCCTGCAACTGGGCCTCGCTCCGCAAATGGGGCCTATGGCTCCTGGAATGTTAGTAGCCGCTAAGTTGATCCAGTGTGAGGGGGAGATGACAATTTTTGACAATGGATTCAACAAAAAGGGAAACTGGATTTCAAACCTGGATGAGTATATGAGGGTTCATTGTGCCATTTTCTTTCTTTCTTTTTGTTTTTTTTTTTGAGACGGAGTTTCGCTCTTGTTACCCAGGCTGGAGTGCAATGGCGCGATCTCGGCTCACTGCAACCTCCGCCTCCTGGGTTCAGGCAATTCTCCTGCCGCAGCCTCCTGAGTAGCTGGGATTACAGGCACGCGCCACCATGCCCAGCTAATTCTTTTGTGTGTTTTTAGTAGAGACGGGGTTTCACCATGCTGACCAGGATGGTCTCGATCTCTTGACCTCATGATCCACCCGCCTCGGCCTCCCAAAGTGCTGGGATTACAGGCTTGAGCCACCGCGCCCGGCCCCATTGTGCCATTTTCTTGGTTTTAAATTTTCCATAATAAAATGTTAAAGAAAATAATATTGGCCGAGTGCAGTGGCTCATGCCTGTAATCCCAGCATTTTGGGAGGTCAAGGCGGGTGGATCACATGAAGCCAGGAGTTTGAGACCAGCCTGGGCAATATGGGGAAACCCATCTCTTCTAAAAATACAAAAATTATCTGGACATGGTGCACATGCCTGTGGTCCCAACTACTCAGGAGGCTGAGGCACAAGAATCTCTTGAACCCAGGAGGTGGAGATTGCGATGAGCTCAGATCACGCCACTGCACTCCAGCCTGGGTGATAGAGGGAGACTGTGTCTCAAAAAAAAAAAAAGAAAAGAAAAGGAAAAAAAATAATCTTCACAGCAATCTTAAGAAGCAGATATTATCATCCTCATTTGGGAGATGAGGAAATAGATGTTCAGAGAGGGCAAGAGATCTGCCTGAGGTCACACAGCATCTAAAGGGTAAAAGGATTCCATCCCAGATTTTCAGCCCCCATGGGTAAGATGGAAGAACATCTATTTCCATCCTACCCCCAGAGTCCTGTAAACACACTTCCCGCAGACAATGTGGAGAGAAATTTGTAAAGAGAACCTAAGACACAGGTCGAGAGCACAAGAGCCTCTGTGTGGGGAAACTTCGTTACCACTGAATTCCTCCAACACTTGAGCTCCTCTGCTGCCTCCCTGCCATGTGATGGTCAGGCCTTTGCATACTTCCAGGCGGCTCACCATAACTCAGAGAGGGCTGTGCTCTAGAAGGGGTTGATGTGATTTGAACTCGATGCCCTTGGCAGTGGGGAGCCAGTTATGTGGAAAGAGATGTTTGGGAAAGAGCACCCCAGCAGCTGTGTGCAATGAGTGAGGGGCTGGATCTGGGCAAAATGGGACACACCTGCAGCCCAAAGGCCAGTTAGGAAGCAACGTCATAAATGGTCCAGGCCTGCCCAGGTGCACTGGAAAGAGAGAAGAGGCTTCTAATTGGGTCAGCGAGAGGGGAAACGGGAAAAGAAGAGAGAAACCCAAGGTTTACAGTCCAGAAGTAGGAAGAAATATCATGCTTTTGACAGAAAAAAAGGGATGGGGGCTCCTGACCTGAGGGTCCAGGCTGCCCCTGGATGTTCATACAGAGGCTTCCAGCTCCCCAGAAGGTTTCAACAGGAGTTTCCCGAGCTCTGCTGAGCTGAGCCTCAGCCACTTTCCCCAGGTCTGGGTCAGTTCAGTCCCCTGCTAGTCAATACAGTACCTTTGTTCATTAGAAAAGGACAGCCTTCCTCAAAACACTTTACTGACATCTGTTGGCAAACTGGCTTAATACCTACTGTTGGAACAAGACATTTGACTGCCATCTGCTGGACAATTCTCACTATAAATATATCATCTATGATATTGTATCACAGTCTGCTAATCTGCAGTTGGGTGCAGAAGACATCCTTAGATGAGGTATGCTTGTGCAGTGTATAACCTGCACAACTGTACATGAAGCCCCTGGGCATGTGTGTCCACACCCCTTCCTTCTTCCCAGGCTGCCCGTGTGGGATGGCAAAATACTAAGATCAAGTCAGACCTTGGGGAGAATCCACTGCTGTGAACTAGGCCTCTCTGACACCTAGGAAGGAGGAGGCCAGGGAGTCATAGGCCAATGGGAACCATCATGACAGTTAAAGGCAAGATTGGCTTCCAAACCTCAGCCTCAGAAAATGGTTCCTGCACAGATGTAAGCTGAGTGGACAGCTCTGCACCTGCTAGGCCCAAGCCGTCCAGGAGAGGGTGCTGTGCGGCTGCCGGAGTATCAGACTAGCAGACTCCAGAAACGCAGCACACACAGGGCTGGGGAGCCCTCAACACACACCCAAAGCTTCGGATGCTCTCAGGCGTGGCTCTCTCTGTTTTCTCTGTGACTCTGTTTTGGTTTATCTATTTTTTAGCCTTCCTCTCTGTCGATGTCTATTTTTCTGTGCCCAGGTCTCTGACTGTGCTTTGGCAGGGCCGCCTGTCTCCATTTCTCTGTCTGCAGCTCTCTATAAACATGCTTTTCTCAGCCTCACTCACCACAGACTCCAGACACACAAGCCTGCACACGCCCTGGTCTATGGGACATTCTGGCTCCTTCAGGATGGAAAGCTGGATGCCAGGGCCGCTGCTGCACTCCTGAAAGACTTCAGTCAGCTCAGGTGTGGGGTGAGCTGTGAACCCATGTTCCCTCATCAGCCTTCATCATTCCCAGGCTGCACCCCACCCCCAGGCCCTGGATTGCTCCAGATGCCAGGTAACCCCAGTCAGGAGCAGGGGCAGGGCTCTTTTGCTGGGGTCCCTAGAGGGGAGAGCATTCTGGTTCAGCTCCTGCCCGCAGCTCCCTACTGGGGTTGAAAGGGGTGAGGGTGATGGGGAATGGGGGAAGGAAAGAGTGCCGAGATGGGCAGGACCAGACCTCTGCTTCTTTCAGCCCCAGCCCTCAGGACACACCAGGACTCAGGAGCCAGCAGAGAGGGGCGGTCGGGAAGCCTCTCTGGCCATGTCCTCCACAATGCCAGAAATTCCACCAGAGGCTTTAACCCGCTCCATTGAAGCCTTCATAGGCGACAGCATAGCGAGGTGATTAGATGCAGGAGTGCCAGCCTTTGTTACGCCAGCCTCTAAATCCTGGTTTGGTCACTCAAACTAGCATTTGCATGACCTTTAAGCAAGTTACTTAAGTTAGAAAGATGTTCCAGGGCCTTGGTTTTCCCATTTTTAAAAATGGGATTAGCTGTGGATACACTCACGCACAGGCAGGCTGTACCAGGCTATTCACTGCAGCCTCGATTGCAGCCGCTGACAACTGAGAGACAATCTTAGCGTCTCTCAGCAGAAGACTGGTTGGAGAAATTCTGGAGCATCTGCACAGTGGGGTGCAATGCAGCTGGGCAGAAGGATGAGGACGCTCTCAAGTGCAAGGGCACCTCAGTCTCCAGCATTTGCAGTTAGTTAAAAAAAAGCAGAGTCCAGAAAAATGTGTAGAGTATACCACTGCTTCTGGTATAAATGAAACAATCCTATTATATATTATTTGTTTGCTAGGCTAAGATCACTTCTGGAGGCCCTCACAAGACGCAAGGGCTGCCTTCAGGAAGGGGACCTAGGGGACAGAGTGGGGAGATTTTCATGGCATGCATTTTTTATATTGTTTGATTTTAGAATGTGTATACTATAGATTATACTTTTTAAGTAGTAAAATTATATTTTTTGAGTAGTAAAAATCTATCTATCTATCTATCTATCTATCTATCTATCTATCTATCTATCATCTATCTATATTTTTGAGATGTACTCTTGCTCTGTGGCCCAGCTGGAGTGCAGTGGCACAATATCAGCTCCCTGCAACCTCCGCCTCCCTAGTTTAAGTGATTCTCCTGCCTCAGCCTCCTGAGTAACTGGGATTACAGGCGCCGCCACCATGCCTGGCTAATTTTTGTATTTTTAGTAGAGATGGGGTTTCACCATGTTGGTCAGGTTGGTCTCAAACTCACTGACCTTGTGATCCATCCACCTTGGCCTCCCAAAATGCTGGGATTACAGGTGTGAGCCACCGTGCCTGGCAAAATCTAAAAAAATTTTACAAGATAAAAAACAGGGCAGGTGTGGTGGTTCACACCTGTGATCCCAACACTTTGGGAGGCCAACGTGGGAGGTGGTTGGATCACTTGAGGTCAGGAGTTTGAGACCAGCCTGGGCAACATGGTGAAACCCCGTTTCTGCCAAAAATATAAAATTGGTTGGGCATGGTGTCGCGAGCCTGTAGTCCCAGCTACTTGGGAGGCTAAGGCAGGAGAAATGCTTGAACTCCAGAAGCGGAGGTTGCAGTGAGCCGAGATTGTGCCATTGCACTCCAGCCTGGGCCACAGAGTGAGACTCCATCTCAAAAAAAAAAATCCAGGAGATTCTAACAGACCCTGCATCTTGGCATCATGGGGCGGTTAGGAGGATCTGATGGTCCCCCATGGGGACACCCAGTCAATGGGCACCATGATGGGCTACTGCTCATTTGCCGCAATCTCTGGATGAGGTAGATGGGGACACACACAAGCCAGCGCTGTGCTGACGCTGGAGACCTTTCCTACTCAAAACATGATCTGTGCTCCTGCGGTATCAGCATACACTGCGCAGGACACGTCTCATTTCATTTAATTCTCACTACCCTGCAGGTGGGGTCCATCTTAACTGGGAACTGGATAGAAATGCAGGTTCTCAGGCCACCCCCGATCTCGACTCAGAACCTGCATCTTTACAAGACGCCCAGAGGTTTTGTGCACATATTGAAGTTTCGAATCAGTGATATACAGTAGGGAAAGCAGAGAAAGGCCAAGTTGGCTCATGGACTGCCCCAAAGGGAGCGCCAGGCCTGTGAGAAGCTGGGAAGGACTAGGCAGGAGGGCTGGGAACCCAGATGGGAGAGCTCTCACCCCACACTCTCCCATCTCCATGTTTGCCCAGGTCCTGCAAGGGTTTGGTTCTCTGATTGGGAACCTGGTGGGCCCCTCCTGTCTCCCTGTACTCGGTCCTGCCCTTGGGGTGGAGCCAGTGGTGTGCAGGGGGCCTCTCACCTTCATCCCGGCCACGTCGATGCGGGTCCTCACCTGGAACTGGGCGCCCACCTGGATCACCCTGGGCACACAGTACAGCAGCATGTTGTTAAACTGCAGGAGACACAGGCATGAGTGTGCCATGGCAGGGACAGGAAGGACGACCGGGTGGGGCTTCCCTGAGGGTGGGCCGAGCACCACTGGACCACCCACCCTTTTGAGCACAGTCTGGCCAGCTCACTGGACATCATAGGTGATGATGCAGGTGATGAGGAAGGGGCTGCCAAGCTCCCAATACCCCTAGGATGGTTACTGAAGGGCCACTCTACCTGTGGACATCAAGGGACCACAGCAGACCTCAGAAACCTACAAGGCCTTTCTCAACAGGGGCTCAGGATGGCAGGGGTTTATAAGAGGTTCTAGCTGCCTCCCCCAGGCCTCCAGGCAGGACCACCTTTTCAGATCTCAGGAGATCCCCTGGCTTCTTCCATGCAAACTCAGGGCAGTTCTTCCTAGTAGCTAACCTTACTCCCTCCTGCTGTGCTCTCTCTAGAGCACAGATTAATACCACAGGCTTTGGAGTTCAAACTCACAGACTGAGTTCAAACTCTGATTGTGTTACTTCCTACGACATGTTTGGGAAACCTGTGGGTTGGAAATCTCCGAGACTTGGACGCAGCAGGTGACCTGTCCAAAGTCACTTGGGTGCCAAAGCAGGAAAGAACAGAGAAGCGGTCTCTTCCCTGTCCCCCAAAGTGCCAGGTAGAGGCCAGGCAGCATGACTCGGGCCAGAGTGGTCCATGAACTTCCCTTGCCAGTATGGAGAGGGGCTCCCAGCACATCTCTACCAAGAAAAGGTAGCGCTCTAGGGGGTCGCTGCGGCGGAAGGAGATCTTGAGGACTGGGCCCTCACGGAGCAGCGTGTTGGAGGGGTCTACGATGTCATCCTCGAGGCCCAGGCGCTGGTACACCTCCCACAGGTCCTGCAGCCGCTCCTGGGGGGTTGGGTGCATCCTCAGCCAAGGCTGGGCAGGGTTCACCTGCTTCTGGAAGGCTTGCCTTGTGGGGATGGGGATGGGGGTATGAGAGCGAGGGCAGCAGTGGGGTAGGTGTCATGGGTGGGACCAGGCTGAGACCTGCAGGGAAGTGAACAGGGCTCCAGGGGAGGGTGGGCTGCTCACCATCTCAGTGATGGCCGCATTGGAGTGCTGGGCAGCTGAGAAGATCATGTCCAGAGCCTCTGAAAGGGGAAGGGCCAGAGTTCATACCCTAAGAATCTAGGGCTGGTGGCTGGGGCTGGAGGTCCTTGATGTTCAACAAAGCACCCTCAGGACCTGCCACGACAGCCCCCAGGAATAGCCTGCCTGTGCAGCCCAGCCATGGGGTGTCTGAATGGTGGGAGCCCCCCAGGGCTGAGAGACTGAAAGCCACTGAAAGTTAGCCATTTAGTATTTGGCTTTGGTGACTCTCACTGCTCCCCAGAACAAGCCAGACCTAGAGGGTATAATGGAAGGAGCATGGGCTTTGGCATCATACAGGCATGAGTTCAAATCCCAGCTCTGCTACATTCTGGCTGTGTGACCTTGAGCAAGTCACTAAATCTCTCTGGGCCTTAGTGTCCTCATCAGTGAAAAATGGCTAATGGTATGGATAATGTGTATGCGGTTGATGTTGACGACTGATGGTGGTCATAACCATTTTAGCAGGAGCTCAATAAATATATGGGAATGGCTTGGGCCTCCCCAGCCCCCTGGGACCCCAGGGGTGTCCTCACTCTGGGCGTCGGGCCGGTCTGGGGCCTGGGCTGGCAGCTTCTGGACATACTCCTTGAGGAGCAGCTCGTAGCGTGGAATTCTCTGCACTGGTTCCAGCATGTGGTGCTGTAGAGTCAGGCTGCCTGAAGCCTCGCTGCTCTTGGGGAGAGATTGGGGGAGTGACAGGGAGAGGGCCAGAGCAGGGAGCTGGGTCAGGCTGCCCCTGAGGGCCAGACGAGTGGGCAGGGGCCTATGGAAGCAGCTGAGCCTGGGAGATGCCCTAAATCGCTCAAGGCAACCTGAACCACTGCAGGCTGGGAGTGGCAATGCTGACTCCAGCCCTCCCCCAGCCTCACCTGGATGCGAGCGAGGACCTCCTGGAAGAGTGGAGACTTGTCGGTCCAGGTGGCCAGCAGCTCAGCTGCTCGCTCAAAGTTCTTGACATACTCACTGTACATCTTCAGGAAGGGGGCCAGCTTCTGGATCACGTCTCCGATGCGAGGGGTGGCTGTCCTGCAGGAGGGCCATGGGGATTGCCCTCAGCCTGGCGACCTCCTCTCGACTCTAGGGAGGGCCAGGTGAGGCCAGGCTCCCTGAATCCCCCAAAGCAAGCTTTCCGTGGCAATTCTGGGTGAGGGCGGGGCACAGGGGTGTCATCCTCATATGTGTGTGCCCCTCTGCTCCTTAGACTCCCCAAGGGCAAAGGCTGTTCTGGTCCCAGATTGGCCTCATCTGCAAGGCCCAGCACGGGTCCCACAGCAGGTGTTCAGTGACTGCTCCGTGCTCCATTATGTAACAAGAATAAGGGCCACCTGCCAAGCACTACCCAGGACGTGCCACGTGTCTCATTCCACGTAATTTTCACAACCCTGAAGGGGGGACAGCCACTAGCCCATCTTAGAGGTGAGGAAGTGGAGGCTCAGAGGGGTGAGAACTTCTCCAGGACTGGCTAGGCACAGTGGCTCACACCTGTACTCCCAGCACTCTGGGAGGCCCAGGCAGGCAGATGGCTTGAGCCCTGGAGTTCAAGACCAGCCTGGGCATCAAGGTGAAACCTCATTCTATGCCCCCCCACCACAAACTATATAGAGATAGTTTAATATATGCATAGTGTATATAAATGTTTTAAGCAATCAGTACATATATATGTTTTAAAGAACTTCTCCAGGATCACCCCGTGGCAGGGCTTGCTACAGCAGAGCAGCAAGGAGCCACGGCCTGGGTGTGGGGCTTCCTGAGCCTGACTCCTGGGATGCACCAATCATGCTGGCTGTTTCCAGGCAAGTCACTTAGCCTTTTTGTACCCTAATTTTCTCACTGAAAAAAATTGGAATGATGGCAGGTGATCTCATAGGGTTATTCTCTCTCTTTCTTTCTTTCTCTTTCCTTCTTTCTTTCTTTCTTTCTTTTTCTTTCCTTTCTTTTTTTTAAGACAGAGCAGGGTTATTCTCTGTCACCCAAACTAAAGCGTAGTGGTGCGATCATGGCTCGCTGCGGCCTCGACTTTCCAGGCTCCAGTAATCCTCCAACCTCAGCATCCTGAGTAGCTGGGGCTACAGGTGCCTGCTACTACACTGGCTAAGTTTTGTATTTTTGGTAGAGATGGGGTTTCACCATGTTGCCCAGACTGGTCTCAAACCCTTGAGCTCAAGTGATCTTCCCGCCTCAGCCTCCCTCCCAAAGTGCTGGGATTACAGGTGTGAGCCACCAAACCCGGCTGTTCTTTTCTTAAAAAGAAAAATACCCAATTTATTATAAATGTTTTAAGCAATCAGTACATCACTAGGTTTAACAGTTACTAACATTCTTCTTTGCCAAAGCTCTTAAAGGATATCCTAGACTTCATGGCAAACTATTGAGGCAAGTAATTTCACTGCTAACTGCTTTAGTGGCCATCTCTGAAAACTAGAGGGTTTCCTGGTAACCATGATGCCATCATCACATGGAAGGCTGATGTGAAGACTGAGTGAGTTAATGGGCAGAAAGCCCAAGGCCAGGCATGTAGGAAGCCCTCAGTTAGCACTGACTATTTTCACTGTCCCCAAAATCACTTGGTCACCTGGCCTGGCCAGGACCTGATCCACCCCCTTCCCCAGGAAGCAATCTGCACACACAGCCTCTCAGGGCCCATTCACCCAAGCCACTCACTGTGCAGACAGACCAACCGCCCGGGAGGAGACTGTCATGGCACACAGCAAGGGCCTGGGTCTAGAAGGTTGAACCCAGTGCCTGGGGGCTCCCCACCTCCACCCGGCCAGGGTTGTGGTCTGGGGTCTCAGGGGCTCCTGGTGGACCTCACCAGTCATCCAGGCGCCGCTGCAGCTCTGGGAGGAAGAACTGAGAATGGAATTGGTAGATGGAGGAGATGTTGGAGAAGATGACCCTGACCACGTCCTCAGGGAAGGCCTTGCTGCTGCGGGCTGCCCTCAGCAGCTCCTGGAAAAATACCTGCAGCCGCCACCACTGGTCACCCACTACAGTGACAGGGAGCCACCCACACACCGGCCCGGGGGAAACTGGGGTCCCACCCAGCCTACTGCATGCTTCCACCTCCCCAGTCTCCCGGCATCCTCACACTAACCCTGGGAAGAGAAGGCAAGGGAGCCTGTGTTCTGGCCACTTTACAGACAGGCAAGGCAAGGCCTAGAGATTCAGGGACTGGGCCAAAAGCTGGCAGCCGATGAATGTCATAAACAGGCCCAACTTGGGTCTGTGGAGGTCTTGGATTTCATCAGACTAGAGCTCCCTGCGGGGAGGAGTAACCCTCTAGCCTTAGGGCTCCTTAAAAAGTGTGAAAGGTAAGATCATGGTGAGACTGTGGGCATTAGGATGACAGATGAGGATGCTGTGCAGGCCTGCAAGGGCCAGCTGGTGTGTTCTCTGCTGTGCAGGGGCCAGCCTGGGCACCATGGGCAGAATGGGGAGTGCAGCTAACATGACTTCCTGATTCTATCCCAATCCCAGCCAGCAAGACCAAAGGCCTAAGGCTTCCTGGAGTCAAAGTCCTGGTGAGCAGGATGGGAAGGCTAAGCAGGGGTGGGGTGAGGAGACCCAGGGCTGGGGCTCTGGAGGGGGGTGTCCTGGCCACCTGCCTGGTCTAGCAGGTGGAGGCGTGCCACATAGGCCTGCTCTGTCTCCAGCAGCTCCTGGACGATCTTCTTCTCTGGGTCCTGCAGAAGATTGGAGGTGAGAGAAGGAGAAGTCTTTGGTCTCCTCTGATGGGGACCTTAGTTCAGTTTCCAAAGATGCCACAGAGAAGCACACCTCCTGGGATTCATGGGCCTCTCCCCTACCCCCCAGCCCCCTCCCCGCAGTGCATCTGGGTCAGCCTTGAGATGGCCTTCACAGAGAATTCAGCTGAGTAAGGCTGTGCCAGTTCTCGGCCTTAGCCTTGAGAGACCTGGAAGCTTCCACCTGTGCTGTCTTCCACCAGACCCCTTGATGTGAACCACTACATCAAGGGGTCTGGCAGCTCTGATAGGGAAGCCTTGTGGACAGGCCACGTGGAGAGGAAAGGCCTGGAGAATACATGGAGGAATGAGCCCAGACCTGCCAGCATCCCAGCTGAGCCTCGTCTTCCAGCCGCCCCTGCCCAGATGCCAGGCTTGCGAGTTGATCTGTCTTGGGCATCCCAGCCCCAGCCACCATCTGATTGCAGCTACTTGAGAGACCCTGTTAGGAACTACATTGTGTCCCCCAACCAAATGTTGAAGCCGTAATCCCCAAATATAAATGTATTTGGAGGTGAGGCCTGTGAGGAGGTCATTGAGGTTAAATGCAATGATAAGAGTAGGGCACTAAACTGGTAGGATGGATGTCGGAAGAGGAAGACACACCAGAGATAACAAAGAAATGACCATGCAAGGACACACTGAAAAAACGGCCATCTTCAAGCCAAGAGCAGAGACCTCTCCAGGAACCAAACCTAAAGGCACCTTGAACTTGGCCTTCCAGCCTCCAGAACTGTGAGAAAATAAATGCCTGGTGTTGAAGTCTCAGGTATTTAGTTATGGCAGCCCAAGCAGAATCATACAGACTCCTGAGTGAGGCCAGTAGAAAAACCCCCGCAGCATCTCAGTCCACTCACAAAATGCAAAACATGATAAGTCGTTACATTCAGCCCCAACTTTTTTTTTTTTTTTGAGATGGAGTGTCGCCCAGGCTGTAGTGCAGTGGCAAGATCTCAGCTCACTGCAACTTCTGGCTCCCAGGTTCATGCAACTCTCCTGCCTCAGCCTCCCGAGTAGCTGGAATTACAGGCATGTGCCACCATGCCCAATTTTTGTATTTTTAGTAGAGACAGGGTTTCAACCATGTTGGCCAAGATGATCTCGATTTCCTGACTTTGTGATCCACCTGCCTTAGCCTCCCAAAAGTGCTGGGATTACAGGCATAAGCCACCGTGCTCAGCCACTTTTTTTTTTTTTTTTGAGGCAGAGTCTTGCTCTCTCACCCAGGCTGGAGTGCAATGGTGCAATGTCAGCTCGCTGCAACCTCCACCTCCTGGGTTCAATCAATTCTCCTGCCTCAGCCTCCTGAGTAGCTGGGATTACAGACGCCCATCACCATGCCCAACTAATTTTTGTATTTTTAGTCAAGACAGGATTTCCCCATGTTGGCCAGGCTGGTCTTGAACTCCTGACCTCAGGTGATCTGCCTGCCTTGGCCTCCCAAAGTGTTGGGATTACAGGTGTGAGCTACTGCGCCTGGCCAGCCACAACATTTTTGAGTCATTTGCTCAGCAGCGATTGAAAACCAGGACACATTACTATAACCACCATCCCCATTTTGCAAATGAAGAAACTGTGGCACAAAGAGACTCAAGTGACTTGCCCAAGGACACACAGTTAGGAAGCAGACATGCTGGGATGTGACTCCAGGAAATTTGTCTGCACAGTATCTGCATGCGAACCCTTGAACTCTGCAGATGAGAAAACTGCAAGCCACAGAACAGATCAGAGCGGGCTTTAGTCTAGGGGCAGGAAAATTTGCACTCAGATCTCTATTTCTAGGTTGGGGATGTTGTCTCCTCCATTGGGTAAACTGAGGCCCCACCTGAGCAGGGAACCAGGTTCACAAGATGGAGACTGTTCCTAGCTGTGTGGCCTTGAATAAGTGCCTTAAACTGTTAGTGTTCAACTTCCTCGCCAAAAAACTCCCACACAAGGGACTCACAAAGGAATCCAGCACAGTGCATCGTAGGCAGTTAGATCAAAGGCCATTAAGGATTGGGAAATTTAGCTCCCAGCTGACATCTGGTTGCATGAGACCCCCTCCTGGGGAAATGCTGGCTCTGGCTAGGGGAGATGTGTGGAGGGGAGGTCAGAGGGAGCTCCCCACCCTAGAACCACACCTTTACCCCAGCCTTCAGGCACCTGTGTCCCCAATCCTGGGAGGGTCCCAGGCTGGCAAGATTTCCTCCAGGCTCCGCTGGACAGTTTGTTCTTCAGGGAGTTCAGGTACCTCCTGCTGACTGTCCTGGGCTCAGACTCCATGGACCCCCTGACATTCGGCTTCTCCCATGGTCCTGGGGACTCGGGAGGCCTGCACCCAGGGCGGTGATGTGCATCCTCTAGCCTGCGGTCTCTGGGTGCTCCTCCTGGGTTCCTGGGGAGAAGAGACAGACCCGAGAATTTCCTGCCTGGAGAACAGGGAAAACAGCAGCAAGTCCCTGGTGTGGATCTGGGTAGCCTGGTGCAAATCCGCAGGGCAGGGGCCCCTGAGTGCTAAGGGAACACTTGGGAACATGCTAAGTAAGACTTTCACTGCTCTCCCAATACATCCTCGGAGGGAACTCAGTGTTCAAATGAGTCAGGGTGGACCGTATTTTATTTTCTGGGGAACTACATACTTCCTTGTTTAAAATGAAACCAGGAATCCTCCTTTCTGTGTATAGGAGTTTTTAGGTGGTTACCCCTGGATCAAGCTCACCTTTGGACCTCACTTCTGTTTTCAGTTTCCACATTAGTAATCTATATGTCAAAGGAAGGTGAGAGCCACAGAACAATCTAAAGTGAAAGCAGGCCTGCAAAAGCTGGGGCTTCTCAATGGATTGACACCCTCCACACATCCAGAAGCAGAGGGAGCCAGCCCAACAGCAGATTCTCTGTTCTCCCAGGGATGGGCCTTAATAGGGCAGCTTTATTACCCCGTGTACTGGGTTCTGCAGACCACTCAAATTCTTTAGATAACAGACCCCACCCTGGCTGAATATATCCAGCATTGCCCTCGGTGTGGAAAGACTCATGATGACAGCATAGGGGAGGCATACTTATGAGAAAGACAAGCCAGGAAGTGGAAGGCTGAACAAATATGAAATCTCCAAAACTCCATGAGAAAGGTTTTCATTACTCATATTTTGCAGTTAAGGAAAATGAGGTCTTGACAGGATAAGTAATGTTCAGCTTGGAAGTGGCAGTGGCGGGATTCAAATCAGGTGACTGCTTTCCGGGCCTTCATCCTAACCTGCCCCTCCCCATTTGAGTAAAGGAGAAACAGGTCCTCAGAGTCAAAGTGACTTGCCCCAGGTGACACATTTGGGTTTGTGGCAGCAAGAGCATTGGGACCTAGGGCTGTGTGGCTACTTCCAAGCTCTCCCAGCCCTGATTCCTCAGCCCGTGGGTCTGCAGCTCATGGGAGTAGCTGGCTCTCAGGCTTTCTGTTCTACATTTGGTTTCAGGTTCTGCATTTCTGTCCTAGTGGCCCTGGCCAGCTTCTGTTTCCTCTTTGCCCCTCAGTTTCAGATCAGCTAAGGTGCTAGAGACCTCATAAGGAAGCCCAGGCCAAGGCAGTTGGCATGGGTCCTCTCACTCAGTAAGGGGTGGCTCTCACCCTCTTGATGACACCTGCTGGGACCTCACTCCCATCTAAGGACTACCAGCTCCTGCCAGGGGTGTGGCCTGGGCAGAGCACAGCATGCTGAGGGGCTCCACCCCAGTGTGCCTACTCCGTGCCAAGCACGTTGAGTGAGGTGGGGCCATCCACCCCACACTCAAGGGGGTGGTGGGCCAGGAAGGCAGCACCTAAGAGCTGTCCTTGGTGCTGAACAGGGCGAGCTTGGCAAAGACCCTGGAGAAGCAGGGGAGAATCACCCAGCTCAGGAAGTTGAAGACTAGGTTTCCATCTATGCCAGCTCCACCCTGAAGCCTACAGGAAACGTTACCTGCCATGAGTGCCCTCAAAACAGCATCTGGGTCATTCCTAGGACATCTATTGTCCATGATCATGGTTAGCAGGTGAGCTCGGCATCCAAAGACAGAAATACTTCCTCATCTTCTACAGTCCCTGTAGGATGCTGTGCTGTGCCACCCATGTCCCTCCTTCAGGAGTGAGGCCTCCCCACATGATCCCCACCAGTTGCTGGTAGTACTGGGGGCTGACGGGTAATTTATTGGCTGAGTCTCTCTCTGGGACTTACTCTCTGGAAGAGAGAGCTGCCTCACTCATAGTCTCCTGTCCATTCTACATGGAGATACAAACCCTCAGCCCTCTGCCCCAGTTGGAACAACCAAGAGGCATCCCAGCTCCAGAGCTCCCTGGGACAGGCTGATCCTCTGTGGCAAGCGTATCACAGCTCAGCATCTCCCCCTGCCCAGCCCTTCTTCCCTCATGCCCACAGTTGTTGTTTCCAAAAGCTCTCCCTGATAAACCACCTGAGGCAAACCTCTGTCTTAATCTATTTCCAGAAAACTCTACCTGGGACAGCCCCTAACACAGTCCTGGGTTTAAAAAATGCCACAGAATGAATTGATACCACACACATGCACACACACACACACATGTGCACACATGTGCGCACACACACACGCTCCAGGGCTACCTATGACTCCACACATCTGGCCCAGCCCTTTCCCTCCAGATTTTGCTCCAGATACTTAACTTAAAGCACTTGGCATCCTCACCTCTCTGTGTCTCCATTTCCTCATCTATAAGATGGGAGCAGAAATAGAGTCTACCCCTGTTAGGCTGTTTGGTGATTAAATTAAATAAGTAAGGACATAAACTTAGAGTAGGAAGTCCCCCATCAGTAGGCTAACGATACATCCTGGTTTGCCTCATATAGTCCCAGCTTTCACTGTAATGCCCCCACCACCAAATTTTATTGGCATTTACTTTCAGTTTCAATTATCTGCCGAATGATAAATTATAAGGTTATTCTAATCATAGGGAGTGAATGCTTGATAAGTATCAGCTACTGTTTCTGCGGGGTGCTGGCGGGCACTGGGTTGGGTCCTGTGCCCACACAGGGGCTTTGATCTGCCCATGCTTGCTCGTAACCACACCTGTCTGCACTCTCACCCCTGCCTGGCTCATGGTGTGCCACCAACACTCTCCCATGCTCTGAGGAATCCATGACTGAGGGACATGGGGCTGCCCCGGCAGGAGGAGGGTCCAGGGCAAGGCCCAGGGAGAGAGCTGCTCGCTATGAGGGCCCAAGGTGGGCCTGGCCCTGCACCACACCTGGAGGCAGGAGGGTCTTGTGCTGCCCAAGGGCCCAAGGTGGGCAGAAAGGCTGGAGGGTGGCTGCCAGCCTACCATGGTGACCCTCCCACCTCAGACGCCCATACCTGCTATTCTCAAACACAGTGACCAGGTTGGACACAGATGCCAGCTTCTCCTCCTCACTTGCCCCCTTCATCATGCCGGTTTCCAGGATGGTTCTCAGCTACCGAAGCAGAGAGAGAGGCCTCAAGCCAGCACACTTAGCTGCCCTGGCCTGGGACAGATAGATTAAATCACCCACAAATCTGCTCTCATCTTTCTCCAGGGCTCAGCAGGCCTGCTCCTGGCTTCAGAGTGAAGAAAGGGGAAGTGGTCCCGGAGCTACAACCCTTCAGGGGAAAGGCCAGCGATCCTGCAGTGGGAGGAGCCTGCTTAGGCCCCGCCTCTTCCTCATGGGGACTGACCTTTCACGCCTGTAGATCCCCATTCCAGAAGACATCTAAGAGATGGCAGGGCCCAGGGGTAGTTTCTGGAGCCCCGTATGGACTGGTGCAGTGGTCCACACCTGTAATTCCAGTGCTTTAGGAGGCGGAAGCTGGAGGATTGCTTGAGCCCAGGAGTTCAAGACCAATCTGGGCAACAGAGCGAGACACTGTCTCTAAAAAAAGTTTTTTAATGTCCACATGGAGCCAGACCCTTGGCTGGTGTCTTTGCCTGGTGGTTCCAGCCAACCACGCTTCCTCCCTCAGAAGGTCCAGTGGCTTTTACTTGGTCTCTTTCTTAGCACCTTCTTTTCTCCATCTGCCCCCACTCACAGCTGTAAGAAAACAGCTTCTTTTTTTCTTTTGAGATGGAGTTTTGCTCTTGTTGCCCAGGCTGGAGTGCAATGGCACATTCTTGGCTCACTGCAGCCTCCACCTCCTGGGTTCAAGCAATTCTCCTGCCTCAGCCTCCCAAGTTGCTGGGATTACAGGCGTGCACCACCATGCCTGGCTAGTTTTATTCTATTTTTAGTAGAAAAGGGGTTTCACCATGTTGGTCAGGCTGGTTTTGAACTCCTGGCCTCAGGTGATCTGCCTGCCTCAGCCTCCCAAAGTGCTGGGATTACAGATGTTAGCCTCTGTACCTAACCAAAAAACAACTTCTTTTATTTAAAATAATGACAAACCTGGTAAGGGTGGCAGGGAGTTCTGTGGTGTCCCCACCTCCCCACTGGGGTTCTCTCATTTCAGTTGTTGCTGTCATCACCTCATTACCCCAAGGGAGGGCAGCTTCCTCCCTGAAACTCTGAGGATAATAATAGCTAACACACACTCTTTTTCATGCTTTATGAGTATTTTCTTATTTAATCCTATAAAAACCTCATGAGGAAGGTACTATTCCTATCCCCACTTTACAGAGGAAGTAACAGAAGCAGAGAGGTTAAGTAACTTGTCCAAGATCACCTGGGAAGACTGCAAGAGAAATTGGATTTCCAAAGCAAAGGTTCTATATAGTTCCAGCAAAGATTTGCTGGGAACCTGGATGACCATGTTCTTGCTGCTCCATCCCCAGGCCTCCCTGTTCCTAAGACACTGGTGTCTCCTGTACCACTTGGTCTCCCGGCCCTTCCAGAATAAATGGCCGCTGCCTCTATTCCCCTCTTTCAAGCCCCACAGGCCGTTCAGGGCTCTCCCACTGGGCTCTGGTCTTTGCCCTGGAGTGCAGGGCCTGAGCCTCGGTGCTCTTGGTACGTGAAGCACCCGACACAGCTTCACACTCCAGCAACTGTGAACCTCTGGGGCCTCACACGCCAACAGCCTCTCTCGCCCCAAGCCTCGCCTGAGTGGTTTCTCCCACCAGATGCTGGCCCCTGCCCTAAACCCTAAGTCTTACTAATCCTCCTGACATCTTTGTTTTTTACCTTTTATTGTGGAGAATTTAGAACATATGCAAAAGTAGACGGAATAGTGCAGTGTACCTCATGAACCCCTAATCCAGACCATACAGCTCTCAACTCACAGCCAGTCCCGTCCCTGTTCCCGTCCCTGTTGCAACCACAGCGAATCTCCCTTCTTGTGTCATTTTAAAGAAAATCCCAGATGTCAGATGATGTTACCCATAAACATTTCAGTGTGTATCTGAAAGGTAAGAACCCTTTAAATAACTAAACACGCACACACGTAAATGTATATGCATATGTACATGTGTATAATAGTAACATTGTTTTACATAGACATATAAGCTTTACATGCTATATCCATGTGTATACACATATGAAATAATATTACCGTTATCATACCCCAAGAGATATTTAGCAAGAATTCCTCAATATAATTAAATATCCAGAAAACATTCCAAGTGCCAATGCCTCATCAATGTTAAATTTAAAAAAAAATCAAAATCCAAGTAAGGACCACACATTCCCTGAGCTGTCACATGGATGAAGTCACTTTTCATCCACAGGTTTCCCTGGTTCCTTCTGTTTCCTCACACAGTATAGTGGAGGGGCACTGGGTTGTTGGTCCTGTAGGTCCCGTGGCCAGGACTTTGCCCACTGCAGTACCATACCCTGGATTTCCTGTCGATGGTGGTTAGGTCTAGAGGCTTGGTCAGAATCACTCTTAAATGCTGTCCTTCCCCATGCCCTCCCTGGCCTGAGGTGCCGCCCTCCCTGGTGTTCCTCTCTGGGGTTTCCTCCTCTGCCCCCCACCAGTCTGTCTGCTCACAGGTGGTTCACTCCCTCCACGGGGGCGAGCCTGAGCATGTGCACTTCCTGGTTGGTCCCCAACCCCAGTGCCTGTCCCGCCTGTAGTGGGACCTCAGAAGGCACGTGGAATGGACAGACGTCACACCACAAGCCTCAGAGGATTGTCTCACCCCTCAGTTGCCAGTGTTTTGAGCATCCAGAGGAGGGTCTGGGCCTGAACAAGGGCACCTGCCCCTCCCATGGGGCTGGAGGGTGGTAGGTAGATCTTCAAGAGGCCTCCATACCCTAGCCCTGAAGATGGCACAGGCACCATGCCAGCTGCTTCCCTCCAGGAAAAAGAGGTCAACATGTCTACATCCCCAAAACAACCTCCCCTCATCATCCAGGGCCCCTCACAGTCTGCCAGCCTTTCTGCCTGTGCCTGGAGGCATCATCTGAGGCTCAGCCAGGGTCTTCTGGTCTCCTCATTTACACACACCTCCCACCCAATTCAGAATTTTTCCCTCTGGTACCTTTTCCTGTCCTTCCACCCAGTGGATATGTCCAACACCTTCAGAACATCACCAGGTAGACGCCCTACATTTGCTTCCAACTCAACACACAACTCTCTAAAGCCAGCAGCACCATTATCACACTGAAGTCATCCCAAACTCACGGGGGCAGCCGTCAAAATCCTCTGGGTTGACATTCTCGGCTACTTTCTCCCAGCATACACCCAGTCTGGGTTGGCATCCAGACCTGCAGGGTACTGAGGCTGAGCTAAGCTGAGCCACAGCCCCCGAATCCCCTTCCCTGCATGGTCTGGACTACTGTTAGCCATGGATACAGCAGGGGACAGAGCAGCCCCATTTTGTTCCTGGGTTGGCGCAAGGCTCCAGCCCTGTTGCAGCTCATGAGTGTTGATGTGGGTCTGTGGCTTCTTGACCGATCTTATTCCTTTCCTTTCCTGTCCATGGGCCAGGTGCATGCTTAGCTCCAGGACAAAGATAACCTATGTCATCATTGATGGCTTGGAGGTGGCCACCTGTCCATCCTCCAGAATCCCAGCTCTTCCTCACTCTTTCAGATCCTCTTTTCTGCCCCCACCTCACTGACAGCTTCCCCTCCCCACTGCCTGCCCTGTTGACTTTAGACTCAGAAGCATTAACTCTTTAAGTAGCTCCCACACTGTATAAGGTCAAATTTTGCATTCTGTATGGGATCCCTGCAGTTCGGGCTTGGGCTTCTCTCCCTCACCCTCCTTCCCTCCCACCTTCCCCTGTCTGAGCTGCAAGGAACTGAACTCTTCCATCTTCTGTATTGTGTCACTCTGGGTCCTTCTGCTTCTCTGTAACACCTTGGACCAGTAACCGAATTTCACTTTCCTCTTCTGCAACATGGGGATAATTATACTGCCAAGCTCCTGTGGTTGTTACGCAGGTTAAATGGGATAATAATATGTAGAAGATTGAGTAAGACCTGGTACTGAGTAGGCACTCGGTGACTGTTGGCTGCCAGCATTCTTACACCTGAGAGAAGGCTTTGCTATGGCTCTGCTCTGCCTTCACCATCAGTTCCCTTTGCCTAGAGCAATGGCCCCAACCTTTTTTGGCATGAGACACTGGTTTCTGGGGCTGGTGGGGGAAGATGGTTTTGGGATGAAACTGTTCCACTCAGATCATCAGGCATTAGTTAGATTTTCATAAAGAGTGAGCAACCTAGATCCCCTGCATGCGCAGTTCACAATAGGATTCACACTCTTATGAGAATCTAATGCCACTGCTGATGGGACAGAGGCAGAGCTCAGGTGGTAATGCTCACCCACCACTCACCTCCTGCTGTACGGTCCAGTTCCTAACTGGCCTAGAGTGTCTTCAGTCTGTCAAGAGCCTGTTCTCTTCCTCCAGGAAGCCTTCCTTGATACCTATTGCTGGAAATTCCTTTTCTTCCTCAGACACCTGGTGTTCCTCTCTGTTTAATTTTATCTTTTCTGCCCTATTCATCAAGTCTCGCATTCAGTAGACAAGTGTTTCATGGGCACCTACCGTGTCGTCACTATGGTAGAGGTTGCAGATTAAACACAGTCCCCTGCATTTAGCTCAAACTCTAATAAGGAAGATGGGCCTGTGAACCACTAAAATAGGATGTGATGAAAGCTTTGAACAAGGGAGTTATGAACATCCAAAGACAGGTCATCAGAAGCTTTGTGGTAAGGTGACCTGGAAGAGATGAAAGATGAAGGATGGGTGGGGCGCAGTGGATCACGCCTGTAATTTCAGCAGTTTGGGAGTCTGAGGTGGGCAGATCACAAGGTCCGGAGTTAGAGACCAGCCTGGCCAATGTGGTAAAAACCTGCTCCTACTAGAAAAAACCAAAACAAACAAAAACACAAAAATCAGCAGGGCAGTATACTGTGGTGGTGTGTGCCTGTAGTCCCAGCTACTGGGGAGGCTGAGGCAGGATAATTGCTTGAACTCGGGAGGTGGAGGTTGCAGTGAGCCGAGATTACACCACTGCACTCCAGCCTGGGTGACAGAGTGAGACTCTATCTCAAAAAAAAAAAAAAAAAAAAAAGATGAAGGATGAGTTAACTCTGGTGGACAAGACAGGAAGGGGCATTCAAAGCAGAAGGAACAGCGTGTGCAAAAGGATGTGGGCTTGAGAGACCATGGCTAGACTGGGGAGAACACAGGGCCTTGAACATGTGGGTGTCCAGAGCCTGGGAAATG